ATTGGTTGCTATACCAGACAGGCAGACACATTGAGATGCAGGAAACTTTTATAAAGGCCCAAGATGCTGTCTGATGACATTCTTAGCTCCCAACAGTACTGGATTCCAACCTGTCCATCAGTCTCTTACAGACTCCTTCTAAGAGGTTTTGTTTGTTTGCTTTTAATTTTATTCATCTATTTATTTTACATGCCAGCATAGCCTCCCCTCCCAGTCCCTTCCCTGCTTCCATCCCCCCCACCTCTTCTGTCTCTGTCCAGGAAAGGGCAAGTCTCCTATGATATCTGAAACATGGCATATCAAGTTTCAGTAAAACTAAGCACATCCCCATGTATTAAGGCTGGGCAAGGTAACCCAGTATAAGGAGTAGGGTCCCAAATGCCAGTGAAAGAATCAGAGGCATCCCCTGTTCCTGCTGTTAGGAGTCCCCTAAGAGGACCAAGTTACACAACTGTAACATATATGCAGAGTGCCCTAGGTCAGTCCCATGCAGGCCCCCTGGTTGTCGGTTCAGGCTCTATGAGCCAATATGAGCCCAGGTTAGTTGATTGTGTGAGCCTTCCTGTGGTGTCCTTGACCCCTCTGACTCTTACACTCCTTTCTCTTCCTCTGCAGGATTTCTTAACTCTGCCTAATATTTGGCTGTGGGTCTCTGTATCTGCCTCCATCAGTTGCTGAATGGTGCCTCTCTGACAATTGGGCCAGGTACCAGTCTGGTCACAGGAGATGGCCAGTTCAGGCTACTTATCTGCTATTGCTGAGTCTAATCTGGAGTCCTCCTTTGAAACACTCACTATATATTCTTGGCTGTCCTGGGACTCACTATGTGCCTATTGTCCTGTGCTTAAACATGTCATCATAGAACCAACAACCTTGAAGGTTAAGAGGTAAAGTCTTCTTTCCATGTAAAAGGGCATTGTAAAGTTAGGTCTAGGAATGCAGGTCTGTTTAGGTGCAAGATGGTAGGCAGGAGAGAGCTAGACAATGAAGTCCCTTGCTCATTCTGTGAGTAGGCACTATAGGATTTCTCCTGGAGGAGGGGGCACTCAAAAAGTAGAAGCTAATCACTGTGAGTTCTAGGCTAACTTGGTCTAAACAGCAAGCTTCAGGCCAGTCAGGGCTATACAGTGAGCTGCTGTCTGAAAAGAGGGAGGGAGTTGGGGAGATGGCTCAGCAGTTAAGAGAGCTTACTGATCTTTCAGAGGACGTCAGTTCAGCTTCCAGCTGAACAGTATAATTAATTGCCTGTAACTCCAGTTCCAGGGGATAGAACATCTTCAGTTTCTGTTAATACCAACAAGCTGTACACAAACCCCAACATAGGCCGGGCGTTGGTGGCACAGCCAGGCATTGGTGGCGCAAGCCTTTAATCCCAGCACTTGGGAGGCAGGGGAGGCAGAAGCAGGCGGATCTCTGAGTTTGAGGCCAGCCTGGTCTCCCAGAGCGAGTGCCAGGATAGGCTCCAAAGCTACACAGAGAAACCCTGTCTCAAAAAAACAAAAAACAAAAAACCCACACATATATGTATAATTGAAAATAAAGCAGAAGTTTAAAAAAAAAAAAAAAAAAAAAAAAAAAAAAAAAAAAAAAAGCAAAGCCCCCAGATAGAGTATGGCCTGACACAGCCACATCCACCCTTCCGTTGGAGGGAATGAGAGCTGTGCTACCCACCAGGGGTTCTCCAAGTGGGTTCAGAAGCCTCCACGTGAGGTCAACTCCAGGCCTCCCTACCTTCCCCACAGACCATCTTGGCACCATGGGCCTAGTTCTCAGCTTTGGCACTGACATCACACAACCTAGAGATTCCCCAGTGCAGCACAAGTTGGAAACACAGGAGCTGAATTCCGGTCTCCATGTGCCTTCGGTAAGACTTTCCTTCCCATGGCTCAGCTGAAATCAGTAAATGCTGCCCCCAAATTGAGGGTTCCCCCAGGCTCTGGAGAACCCACAGGGTGTGGGAAAGAACTAGAAACTTGGCAGATAGTCCTTTCACTCTTGCTCTAGGTTTTAATTTCTCTATGTAATATCAGTGGCTGACTTTGAAACTAGCTGTCAAGTCTCAATGAGGAAACCGAGGTCCAAGATTGGCAAGTCACACACTAAAAGCCACACCCCTGGCTTCCTAGTTTCCATTTCTCACCTCTTACCACATCCCTTCCATTTCCTGCTGGCTCCAACCTAAGCCACAGCACTTGGGACACTGAAGCAGGAGAGTTCAAGTTTGAGGCCACCCTGGGCTACATAATGAGACCATGTTTTTTGTTTTTTGGGTTTTTTTTTAAGCTTTTAGTATTTTTTAAAGACAGGGTCTCTCTTTTGTAGCCTTGACTGTCCTTGCAGACTAGGTTGACTTCACAGAGATCTGCCTGCCTCTGTTCCCCAGTACTGTGATTAAATGTGTGTGCCTCCATGCTTGGCTTGAGGCACTGTCTTATAAAACCAAGATATCAATAGTAGATAGATAGATAGATAGATAGATAGATAGATAGATAGATAGTCAAGGCTCAAAAATAAAGTATGGAGAGCTAGAAAGATGGCTAAGTGGCTATAGCTTTGCCAAATAAGCCTGAGGATCTAGAATATATTCCTAAAACCTGATTAAAGGTGGAAAAAGATAACTGACTCCACAGTTTTCCTATGACTTCCACATGTGTACTTTGACACACATGCCCTACACACACACACACACACACACACACACACACACACACAGGCAAATGATAAAAATAATAATGATAATTAATAACAACAATAAAGCAAGGAAATGATGGAACATGTAGATGGCTAGTTTTGGTTGGGTTTTGAGGAGAACTGTGTAACTCCTACCTGAGGGAGAATTTTACTTATTGTGTGGGTCATTCAATAAGGGGAGGCAGGAAGTAGCAGGGACCATTCAGAGAGTAAAGTCTTCAGGTATCTAAGGAAGGGAAGGAGGAACAACCAGCGCAAAGGTCCTGAAGACCTGATGTTCTAAAAGCAACAAAGAGGTTTCTGTGGCAGAAGCATGAACATGGGAGTAGAGTGAACACGATATAACAACTGCAAAGATCCATTTGAGGTAAGATTTGTGTCAGGAAGCCGGGCATTGGTGGCGCATGCCTTTAATCCCAGCACTCGGGAGGCAGAGGCAAGTGGATCTCTGTGAGTACGAGGCCAGCCTGGTTTTCAGAGCGAGTGCCGGGATAGGCTCCAAAGCTACACAGAGAAACCCTGTCTCAAAAAAAAAAAAAAAAAAATTTCTGTCAGGAAGGAATGAGCCATGACCCCAGAAAAACCAAAAGGGAATAGGTCCAGGGCTCTGGCACTCTGATAGGTAGAGCCACTTGTGCAACACTGGGGACAGCACTCCAGTTGCTGGAGCTGGCATAAAGTGAAGATGCCTCCAACTGACCATCAGGGGAAGTGATGAAGGCCGGAGGGACTGATAGGGAACATCAGGGGTCCAGAAGGCTGTAATCAGACAGGTGGTTTATTCTTCAGAGGGACAGACAGTGGGAGGGAAAGTGGACTGAACTGAGGGAGGACCGAGGACTTCGTGCTCCATGTGCAGAAGACCAAACTGACCTCTGTCATTATCATACTCCAGTCATCATCGTCCCCCACCCCTACCCCCACCCCTCCACACATCAGAAGTGGGTGGAGGAGCTGCTTCTCCTGGGGGGACTGCAGCAGAAACCTGGGGGGACCAGGGTGCTCTGGTCCGGTTTCCCTTCCCTTCCCTGCAAGCTCTCTAAAAGCTCCCAGGACTCGGTATCTCCCTGGCACTGTGTCCCAGGCGTCCATGGCTGGGTAGGGTTCAGGCAGGGCTGAGGAGGTAGGGTGCCCGAAGGGGAAGCCCCTTTGGTTTCTGTCTCACAGCAGGAACCCAGTAGGGAAACCCCACAAGTCCCAAAAGGAAAGTGGGAGTTGGGGAAGACCAAGAAACCCCCATGCTCTCTCAGAAGATGGGAAATCAAGGGTGTGGCCGAGAGCAGGATTGTGCTAGAAGGGAGGCCGTGGTCAGGCTCTATCCCTGACCGTGATCTTAATGGTGCTGAAACACTGGGACTACTGTGGGTGGTGGCTGAGGCTTGACTCTTATACAACCCAAGCTGGCCACAGGCTGAACCTCAGTTCTGGTCATTGGTTGAGGTCTTATCCTAGCCTAAGCTTCCACCTCACCTGAGTCACAGAGCTCTGTTACTGATGGAGCCCCAAGTCTAACTGACCAGCCACAAGCAGAGGGTTCACTGATAGCTCTGGCCCCAAGCACAGAGAGAGCACACACACTGTCCCCAGACGAGGCACTGAGTTCAGCCCTAGACCAAGTTCTAACCCTTGATATGGATTGAGCCCTAATCCTATGTAACTCTGACCATAGACTGAGCCATTGTCTGAATAAAGCTGATCATGATACTATGGCCTGAAGATGGGTCTCCTTCAGCCCTAACACTTGGTTACAGACACCTGAATGCCAGCTCTCAGTGCATCAAACTAGTCCCTGCCAGCCCCATACAGACTCATTCCTCACTATGGAGCTATGACTTCCCGCACACTCTTCAGCCATCTGGTAAACCAAATGAGGGTATGGATGAGTCAACCCCACCAAGTCCCCTGTTATGGGTAATTCCCTTACCTGGCCATCTGTCATTCATGGGACAATGGACTGGCAATGACCCTTGGATGCTATTGACAGTATGAGGAGGTTAGGTCTTTTGGGTCCCACCAGTGGACAGAACTATGTGAGTGGACAGAGCCCCAGAGGTGCGGAGTTGAGGGAAGGACCAGACCTGGGAGCCCAACAGTGGGTCTGGAGCTCAGATGGGCTGAAACCCTAGCTTCCCGCCACCCCCATGCTTCCCCCTCTGGGAAGGGAAATCACATTTCCCCATTTTAGAAGGGAAGACTTAGTGAGCACAAAGCTGAAAGTACAAGCAGGACAGAAAGTGAAACTGGGCGCAGCCCCCAGTATAAGAGCCCCCTACCCAGGAGATGGCTGCACACAGAGGCTGGGCCCTGACATGGGCCAGGTGACAGGAGGCCTTGGCTGGCGTGAGTTGAAAGATGGGACTGGGAGATGGGTGGGAGGTTTGGTGGAGCCTGGGAGAGTTTAACAGGTACGGTTGGGGTAGAGGACTGAGGGGCAACATGTTGGTCAAGCTAATGGGCATAGTTGGCTGACCACGCAATGAGACTGGTGTAAGTGAGCAGGGGCTAGAGCAGTGGGATTGCAGTTTTACCCAGGCTGGGATGTGTAAGGAGGACTGGTTAAGCAATCTGGCCAGGAGTAGGACTATGTAGACAAATAAAGATGAGCTGAGAACTAAGGACAGTCAGAGGAATAGCATGGGGAGGGGGAGCTGGTAACGGGGACCAAGGGGGCAGCCCCTCTGAAGCTTCCAAGGTTGTCCAGTCTGTAGCTGGTAACTGAGGAGCCAGGAAAAGAACTGAGAGGGACAAGTGGCAGGGCTGGGTAGGACCAAGAGCTGGAGGGTGAGGGCAGGATTCACTACAAAGGGGGTCTTAGAAAGCCCAGAGCTTAGAGAGGTGGTAGGTGGGCATGAGCTAGCACAGCTTCCTCTGGGGTATAATATTTACCGGGGCCCAAGGGTATGTGTTCTGTTCCCATCCTAGAGCTAGGAAGAATTCTGTTTTGCTTTAGTCTCTAGGGTGCTAGAGAGTCAGAGTGGCTCCCAAGCCAAGAAGCCTGAATACCAGAGATCTCAGGCACTGCCTACTTCTGAAAGTCCATTAACCTCTACCAAGGGCACTTAGAGGCAGGTTAGAGATTATGAATGGACAGAGACGGGGCTTGGAGAGGAGCAGGAGTGGGGGTGGATTTGGGGATTGTTTGGGTTTGGATTTAGAAAGGAATTGTTTAACTCCCAGTTGAGAGAGAAACTTCTGAAGACTGCCCTCTTCACAACTGCCCCCCACTCCGCAACCCTGCTCCCCTCTTGGGAGCCTAGGACACAGGGATAAGGAGTGACCTGCTCAAGGGAGGACTAGGAAGCTAGCCTCCTCACTCCCATCTGTGCCACCCACCAGTACCACATTGCTGATTTACCCCCAGAAGGGCTCCAGTGCACCGTGGCCTTACCATCTTCCGTCTGAGTCCCTGGAATAGAGCCAATGGCTTTGCCAGGTCTCCCCCATGGCCCTAGGTCAGTTCAAAGCACCAGAGCTACCTGGATGAGCCCAAGGAATCCTTGACAGAACACAGTGTCCCCACTTCTGGGGCAGGTGGTTACTTCGTCTGAGTTCCCCGGGGCAGGGGGAGCATACTGGCCTGTGTATGGACAGATCTGGAATCCAGCCCTGCCTCCCTGTCCCTCTCACTGTCTAGCTTTGGCTAGTCACTTTACCCAGTCTCAGGATCCTTTTCCACTGCAAAATGGAGAAAGCACTAGTGACCTTCTTACAACCGTGGCACTTGTGCACAGATGGCACAGGGCAGCCTCTGTGGTCCAAATGGTAGCTCTGAGGGGGCAGCTTGAAGACACCAGTCAAAAAGATTTGGTGCTTGTATAGATTTGTTCTCTTCTCCAGGGCTCTCAGGCCTTTGTCTTGTCCCCCTTTCCTCCTCTCTCCAGGGCTCAGCCTGCTGCTGTTACCCTTGCTTCTGGTACAAGCTGGTGCCTGGGGGTTCCCAACAGGTCCCCTGAGCTTGCAGGAGCTGCGCAGGGAATTCACAGTCAGCCTGTACCTTGCCAGGAAGCTGCTCTCTGAGGCTCAGGGCTATGTCCACAGCTTTGTGAGTCTCCCTAACAAAGCAGTCGGGTCTGGAGGTGGGGACACCCCCAAGTCTTACTGGGCCCCCCTAACAGAACTTACCCTTCAGGCTGAATCGAGACTGCCAGGAGTGAACCTGGACCTCCTGCCCCTGGGGCACCATCTCCCCAATGTTTCTCTGACCTTCCAAGCATGGCGTCACCTCTCTGTGAGTGAAGGGCAGGGGGTGGGAAGACTGGGAGTAAAGCACGGTACATGGACAAGGGCTTGAGTGAACATGGATTTGCGGGTTTATGCGGCTAATAAGCCTCTGTGTATAGAGGTAAAGCCGGAAGCTGAGGATGGTGGCACACATCTGTAATCCCAGTACTTGGAAGGCAAAGACTTCCATTTGAGAGAGAGCAAGATAGGAGAGGACCGGAGAGGGAGATGAAGCATGCTCGAATATGAAGATGGGAACAGGGAGATGATGAGAATGACTCTGGGTGGGGGAAGAGGTGGAGCCGGGATTGTAATGAGATTGGGAATGGAGGCAGTTGTGGGAAAGAGATGGGCTGGTTGGTCACTGCGACGGGAGTGGCAGGTCAGGTCAGAGCTAAGAAGACCATTGTAGATGTGGGTGAAAATTAGGCTAGGGGGTGGAAGAAGTGGGTAGAATGGGCAAACAATGAATTTGAGACTGCAGAGGGAGGGTTGGTAGTGGCAATTGGGTAGGAAAGCAGGTGGAGATGTTGGAAACGGGATGTGATTGGCAGGTTAGATTGGGTGACAAAGGAAGGAGTAAAATGAGGCTGTGGATGGAGGGAACTGAGTTGAGGCTAGAGGAGAATATGGTCTAAGAAGGAGACGGGGTAGAGCTCAAAGCAATGGTGGGGGAACACAAGAATCAATTCAAGGAGGCAGCAAGATGTCTCAGTAGATAAAGGAGCCTGCTGTCAAGCCTAACAACCTGAGTTCAACCCCTGGAACCCCCATGGTGGAAGGAGAGAACCAATTCCAACAAGTTGTCCTTTGACTTCCACGGGCATGTTCACACATACATACATGCTATAAACAAACAAAATGTAATAATTATGTTTTGTTTGGGTTTTTGAGACAGGGTCCCACTAATTGTTCTGGCTGTCCTGGAACTCACTAGGTAAAGCAGGCTGGCCTCAAATTTACATATATCTACCTGTCTCTGCCTCTCCAGTGCTGGGATTAAAGACGGGTTCCACCACAGCCAACATAATACATTTTTTAAAGAGTAAATTTGAGGATGGAATGAAAGCTGGGATTAGAAAGAGACCACATAAAGATGGAGCTGGGTTTGGTGTTCTTTGGGTGTCTGTTGATCATTCCCTTCCCTTTAATAGGACCCGGAGAGGCTCTGCTTCCTTTCCACCACACTTCGGCCCTTCCCTGCCCTGCTGGAAGGGCTGGGAAACCAGGGGACCTGGACCAGCTCAGAAAGGGGTCAGCTATGGGCCATGAGGCTGGATCTCCGGGACCTGCACAGACACTTCCGCTTCCAGGTAGAGTGCCCACTATCCCCTTGATCCCTAGGGATCTACAAGCAAAATGGGCTCACTGTGAATCAGGTTGAAGAAGCCTAATGAGGCAGTCCAGATCCTGTGTGTGAGTAGTGGCATCAGAGCCTGCCTCTGCCCAAAGGCTCTGCCTGTTCTTGGGGACTAAACTCTGAGGGAAGAAGAACCCAGGGTCACCTGGGACAGACTTTGCCATCTTCTCCCTCCAATTCTGACATCACTCAGATTCTCCTAGACACTTCAGAGGGCAATAGAAATTTTACTGTAGTAAAAGGAGAATAGAAAATGCAAGCAAGATCGGGAAGTAGTTATGTCACACCCGTTGACCCTGAAAAAATTTCTTAATAACAGAGAGGGATTTCCTAAGCAGCGACCCCCAGGGCAACCCAGGGGATTAACCCCAACCTGCTTGTAGTGCCTTGTTCTACTGGGGCCATTCTTTTTAATTAAAAAAAAAATAGGTAAGGAGCCTGGAGAGATGGCTCAGTGGTTAACAGCACTGGCTGATCTTCCAAAGGAACTGGATTCAATACTCAGCACTTACATGGCAACTCACAGCTATCAGTTCCAGGGATCTGATGCCTTTTCTCAACTCCTTGGCATCAGGCATACATGCAGGGAAAATATCCATACACATAAAAGAAATGTAAAAGTTGGTTTTTGGATTTTTTTTAATCTAGTAAGCCAAGTATAGTGATGCATTCCTGTAGTCCCAAATGCTTGACAGGCTGAGGCAGGAGGATTGTGAATTCAAGGCTATGCTGGAGTTACATAGGAAGATTCTGCAAAAACAAACACACAAGAAACAAAGAGCTGGAGAGATGGCACAGCAGTTCGGAGCACTTGCTGTGCTTGCAGAGGGTAAATGCTCACCAACATCCACCACACCAGTTTCAGGACATCTAGCACCCTCTTCTGGCCTCCGAGAACAACAGTCTTGCAGGCAATGCACATACATACATGCAGGCAAAATGCTCATACAAATAAAATAAAAATAAATAAACCATTAAAAACTTTAAAACTTGACTGGAGAGATAGCTCAGCAGTTAAGAGCACTGTTTGCTCTTGCAAAGAACCCTAGTTTGAGTCCCAGCATCCACATCATGGCTCACAACCATCCTGAACTCCAGTTCCAGGCGACCTGATGCTTCTTTTCATCTCCGAAAGCTCTGCACACATGTATTACACACGCACACACTCAGGCACACATTAAAACAAATCTAAATGATCTTAAAGAAAAAGGAAACAGAATACCAGACTCAGATAAGACATGAGATGCTGACACCAGAGGTCTGAGGTCTGAGGCAGAGACTGTCCAGAGCAATCATGGCCTGTGGTCCCGGATGTCATTAGGTGATGGGCAGCAGGAGTGAAAACTCTCCGGTTCTTGATGTGGCACCATGTGACCCACAGGTCTTTCCTCACAGGTGCTGGCTGCAGGATTTAACTGCTCTGCGGAGGAGGAGGAAGAAGAAGAAGAGGAAGAGGAAGAGGAAGAAGGGAAGGAACTGCTCCTAGGGGCTCTGGATGGCCCCAAGCAGGTGTCATCCCAGGTGTCCTGGCCCCAGCTGCTCTATACCTACCAGCTCCTACACTCCTTGGAGCTTGTCCTATCTCGGGCTGTTCGGGACCTGCTGCTGCTGACCATGTCCCCACACCCAGACCCGGCTTTGGGTTCCTAACACCTAGCTTCCAGCCCTATGGAGTGACCTTTAAGCTCCCTTCCCACACCCATTAAGACTCTAAGGCTGGAGTCTGGCCGGCAGTATAGGACAGTCTCTAGCCCATTTGCCTTAGACCAGGCAGGGCTTCACTAGTCCCCAGCCCTGACCCAATAACTTGAAAACCCAACAGTCCTCACCAGATATTTATTTCTTGGATATTTATTTATTTTTAGGAAATGATGGTTTATTTATTGTTTCATTCTTGAGTTAGGTCACCGTGCTGGTGCCTAATAAAGCCCTCTGGCCCACTTTGTGCCTCCACATCTTCACAGGAGTGTCTGACACCCAAAGAGCAAGACAGCTCGGGAACAGTTGGAAGCTTCTGCTTACCCAGAACCTCTCTCTACTCCTGTATTCTTGGAGTTCTTGCAACATTCCCCAACTCTGGCCTGGGGGTTACCATAGAAACCCGAAGAGTTGTTGTGATATTGAGCTATCATTTTGGAAACTCAAAACAACTGGTCTGCTGTCTGTGGCCATTGACTACAGGCAGTGCTCTTTCCGCCCCTTGAATTTCTTTCCTTTGGGCTGGTTTCCACCCCAGAGTTGTGTTACCTTACACAGCTCCCTGTGGGGCTCTAGCATGATGGGTAATTGGGGAGGGAGATCATACAAGGAAGATTTAGGGGAGAAGAGTCTCCCCATCACTGTCTTCCTTGTAGTCGCCTGCGTAGCCTAGATAGATGGGAAGGTCACCAGGGCAAGGATCCATGGCAGATGCCAGTGGGGCAGGTGCTCCACCAGCTTCCAATAGGAAATCAGGCTCCTTAGATTCAAGGTCTTCATAAACATCTGGTTTAGCTGAGGCCAGGAGAATGAAAAAGATGTGTTCAGGTAGCTGAGGGAGTCAAGGATAACCAGAGTCCAGTAGAGCATTCTTACCCTCCCTTAGGAGGCCTGTCTTGCAAGGGCTGTAGGCCCTGTCACTGTGGCTTTGGCCGACTCAGTCGGGCTTGCAGCTCCTGCATCATGCCAGGATGAGCAAAGCCAAACCTGTGGAAGGAACAGACCCATGGGAGCTGGATCCCAGGTGCCCACAACCTCCTCACCATCCCAAGTGCAGTGCCCCTGTGCCTACCCATGTCCCAGGACTTTTCTCCTGGCTGGCACTGGAGTCCCTTCAGGCCTTGTGGCACTTAGCTCTGAAGTTCCCTCTGGCTGAAGAGGTGGCTGCTCAGGGAGCAGCGCCTCCTGGGGTTGGGGACTGGGAGGGTCATGCTGCTGCGGCTCAGGAGCAGAGATTCGACGCAAAGAGGGCCTTGAGCGCCGCTTTGAGGAACTTCGTGAGAGAAGCACACGACTTCGAGGGACAGAGACGTCCAGGCGGGACCCAGGGAGCAGGGCCTGCAGGGCAAGGGACAGAGGACTGTGGAGAACTGATTTCCTGACTCTGCTTGTCCCTGTTGGGGTCCTGTTGGGGCTCTCACCTCACTCCAGCTGCTGTACACCTCCCCTGGGGCACTTGGTGTGGCCTCAGTCAGTTCAGGGAAGCCAGGCACAGCTAGTGTGGGGATTTGGTGTATCTGCTGCTTCTCCTGGCCTGAGGTGTCCTCTAGATCTTCTGGATCATTCTCCTGGATCTCTGTCCTCTGTGCTTCTCCCACAGCATCCTCCACACCGTGTAGCTTTTGTGTCTCTCCCTTCCACTCTCTTGATAGCCCTCCCTCAGCCTCTTTTTCCAACAGCATTGGATCTCCTAGGGGCCCCTCAGTCTCCATGATGGTTATAGACCCCTCAGCTCTCTCTGTCTGGGAGTCTAAATTCATACCATCCATTCCCCTCATTCCTTCTGCCTTTACAGATGTCTTCATCTCCTCCTGCTCTCCCTCTCCAGTCCCATCAATTTCTTGGACATCATAGCCAGTCACTTTCTCTTCTGCTGAGCCCCCTGAGCCAATTTTCTGCCCACATTGCTTCTCTGCAGCCTCTTCCAGCTCAGTGCCTCCCCCAGTCTCCTCTCTACCTTTGGAATGCCAGGCTCTCCCAAACTCCCTCTCTGGAACCATTCTGGCTTCCCATTCAGGCCCTTCCTCTGCCCCCACAGTCCTGATACCCAAGATAATCTCAGCAGCTGAAGAACGGGTCTGTGTATCTTCACTGTGCTGCAGGCTTAATGCGCCCTCCTCCAGCCTTTTCTTCCTACACAGTCTGTTTGCCTCCCAAGGCACTGCAGCCTCCCCCTCACTGGCCTTGTTTTCTGAGGGCTCAGAAGCTCCCATTGACTGGCCTGTTACTATCTCTGCTCCTTGGCTTCCTTCCAGCTGCTGGTTCACTGCTGTAGAGACCAGTCCCACCTCTGCTCCCCATCCTGGGACCTCTGGCTCTTGGGATTCCTGGCCTCCTTCAGCCAGGACCTCCACTGTCTGCCCTGTTGCAATCTCTTCCTCAGCTGCTTCTTTTACCTCCTGGGTATTTATGCTGTCCACATCCCTTCTCCAGTTTCCCTGGGCTTCTAGCTCAGGACCTGCAAACCCCACAGTCTGGGGACAGTCCTCCAAGCTTAGCATTCCCTCTGGGCTCAGGTCCGGAGCTCGCCTAATCTCTTCCTGACCCTTCTGTTCTTCCTCAAGCTGTTTAGTCAAGATCTGGGAACCTCCCATCAGCTCAGGGTCCTGTCCTTCAGTGACCTCAACTCTCAATACCTCTTGTCTCTTCTGAGCTGCCTCACTCTTCTCTCCCATAAACAATTCCTCAGGTCCAGCTTCTGCTGATTCTTCCAAGTCAGGCTCACCTTTAGCCTCCTTGTCCGGGACTAGCACAGCCTCTGCAGTCCCATGGCTTCTTTTCTCCCTGGGGGACTCTTCTGCCTGCACCCCCTCTTCTAGACTCACCCCCTTATCCCCAGTGGTTAAGCCTTGCATTTCCTCATCCTCAAAGCTTCCCTGTGTCTCCTGGTCTCCCACCTCCTCCTTCCCTGCTATCTGGCCTTCAGTCATCTCTTTGGTTTTCTCCATCTCCAGGATCTGGGTCTGATGTCTTGCTTCAGACTCTCTCTTCTCACTGATCCCATCCTGCTGGCCTCCTTTGCAAGCCTCTTCTAGGACCCAGTCTCTCCCAGTAGCTTCTGGGATGCTATCTTCTGGGTCTGACCCATATTCTGCATCCTGAATGCCTACATTATCAGCCTCCTCCCTGCCTGAGGCTGTCCAGGCCTCTCTACCCAACATGGCCCAGTCTTCAGATTCTGCCCCTGGGTTTTGTGTTCCCTGTGCCCTTGCACTTTGGCCATCCCTTGTCAGGGCTATCCTCTCTTCTTCCTTGTCAGCCCCTTTGGCTCCAAACCCCTCGGTTTCCACAGCTACCTCCTTGGCCACCCAGTCTGTCTCTCTGCCGTCCTCTGTTATGTTCTGCCATTCAGTACCAGCATCATTGCCCTCAGGCTCCTTGTGCCAGGCTGACTGTGACTCCAGCCCCCTGGCCATCTCTGGCTCTGCTGCTCTGATCACCTCTTTTTCTTCCTTTTGTTCACAGGTTCTCAGCAGCTCCCCACTGCTCACTTCCTGCTCACTATGCTCCCAGATACCCTGGGCTTTATTACTGTCCCTGTCTCTGTGAGTCCCAGGCCCTGCCTCAGGCTTCAGTGGAGCATTTGGCTCCTGGCCCTTGGCACCCTCTGCTGCCTCCCTGGACCCAGTGTCCTGCCTTTCGGCTTGGGGCCTTGAGGAGCTGTCTGCTCTCCACCCCCAGGCCCGTTCACCCGCTAAACTTCCTTCTTGGCATCTTACAGTCTCTCTAGGTGCTCCTACCCTTTCACTCTGGTCACTCCTAAATCCCTCCAATTCCTCCTGGGCTTCCTCCTCTATAACCTTCTCTGGGTTCCCAGCAGCCACTTCCCCCAGTTCCTCAGCTGCCTGTGGCTCCCTCTCTACCGTAGGGACTGTATCTCCTATGAGGTAGGACACAAAAGCACTGAAGGAATCCTAGAAGAGAAGAAAGCAGAGTGAAGACATTCAGGGGAAGTCTAGCCCTTGCCCTGGGGGCACTACACCAAAAAAGCCCAGGTAAGAAATCTGCCATTGGAAATCTGTGTAAGGGCCAAAATAGGGCCTAGCCTGGAGTACATGCATGCGCTTATGGAGGCGGGGGGGGGGGGGGGGGGGGGAAACC